TGCCAAAGCCCACTTTCACTTGTGACCTTGTTCAGTAAAAAAGATAAAAGCGCTAAAATAGAAGGGCAGGTATCAGGGAGAAAGTTAATGAAAAGGCAGAAATAAAAAACCCACAGATGGGAGATTGACAAATGTTAGGAACGACTGAGGCAGCGAGAGCAGGCCCGGAGGGACGGGACAGTGGCAGAGCAGGGTCCGGCTGAGGAGAAATGATGTTGCAGAGCTGTATTTTATTCTGCTCGAGTCACTGCTCTTAAGAGTTCCTGATTCTGAGGTGTTGCCCTGAGATAATCGAAGTGGATCATTCCTTAAAGTTGTTAACCATTTACTTTCCTGCTGTACAGGGCCAAAAGGTACAATTCCAAGACCTGGTCTCTTTTATGAGCACAGGTAGGTAGTTTTCCACCTCTGACCTGCTTTGTCTCCAGTATAGATTTTTATGGAATTTAATGAGCTATCACAGCTATTGGCTCTGTGGCTCTATTTCCATCTTTTCTCTTTAAGTTTATCAATGCCTATTTCACTGACATATGAGAAACATTAAATAATATTTGTATAAGCAGTTGCTATTTTTTTCTGAAACTGCTATAATAAACTAAATATTATTATTCTGTGTAGAAGGTGTGGATGCATTCTTACTCTGCATGCACACACTCGCTGTATCACATGGGCTAAGATAACTGCACCTGAAAGTTTGTAACCAAGGACCCCAGAAACTACTCCAGTCAAAACTAAATTAACCATAAAACAGACTAGAAATGCCAGCCCAAACCTTCATAGTTTTAATGAGATGACTATTTCTTACCAGTATTAAATCTGTGGGGAGAGGGAAATGTTCAGTGAGTTAAGATGTGCTAAGAAAAGTGTAAAGAAGAGCATAAACGGCTCAGGAATTCCAGGAATCCCACTGGCTTAAACAGTCTTTTATTTAAAGCAAATGTTCTCATAGTTGAATGACTTCCAAGAAGGGCCTCAAGTGATGAAAGTATTTCCATCTAATGTGAAAATACTTGAAAGATGCTTATTCCCTGTGAAAATATTGCCACCTTTCAGTAAAGCCTGAATACAAGACTCCTTCAATGAATATACTCTTGTAAAAGGTATTAATTTTCAGAATTAATATATGAAATATCCCGAATTCCTACTGTTTTGATAATAACAGATTCTAACGACTTTCATCTCCTAGAACAGCCAAATTAATTCAAAGTATTTTACAAAACAGATACTTCAGTTACAGAGTGAAAAATTTCACATTCATCATCATGGCATTGCTCCCATTTCCCTCGGGGTATAACTGACCTGGAAAGTACTATGGAGCATCTGCAGGGAAAAGCAGTTGGGAAACACAAACCTGCATGAGACCAGCAAGGCAGTGACACAGCCAGTGTCCAGCCAGTCACACAACTACAGTTCACATTAATGGCTTTTTAATTCATATTTTATGATTTTTAGGTGTTATGTTGAATAAACTCCATTTGATTACAATAGATTTTAAATTGGCCAAATTTGGAGAATAAACAGATAGTCAATGCCTTTTTCATGGAAATAGAATAACTTCCAATACACATAGAGCTTGACTCAAAAGAAGTGGGAGTGTTTATTCCAGGAAGGTGTAAGAGACTGTGACAGGACATGAAGGGATGTGTGGCCCAGGGAATACAGCACGTATCAAATCAGTTTGTATTGTGTACTAATTCACTGCACACATTCTGGGAATTGGTTTCTAGTTTGTATATCTGAAAAATTCAAACATGCCTCAGCACCACAGAACACCACGGGGCTTATGGGTTGTTCCTAAAGCTTTTGAAAAAGCTTTGAAAGAAGCTTGGGAGGTGCAGACTTCCATAAATCAAATCCATCAAGCTGCTAAACATGACTGAAAAGCTGAGGAATGTTTTTTATCTTATGTTTTCTAATGGCAAGAAACGTGCAAGGTACACAACTAACCACTAAGGGTCACTGTTTGGTGTTCTCACATCCTGATGTCTGTCTTTCCAAGTGCTTAGAAAACCCCTTTTAAGATCCAGTCCTGTATATTAGGATTTTCCAACAACACTATTTTTAAACTACCAGTGAGATGCATATGTGCCACACAAGGTATGGGAAAATTCCAGTGTCTGGATATGGAGCTTTCTTGAGCAAGCCACCAAGTAATGTCTGAACTGAATATTGTTCATATTACTGGATACAATGATGTAAGTGTCATTGAACATAAAACCAACCCCTTAGGAATCTATTTTATTTTTATGAATAGCAGTTAAATAATTGTAGCAAATGCCATTCTTCTGTTTTGTTAAGAAAGTTAAATAGCCCTCACTGAGAGATTGTCAGATGCTTTGTCAAGAAGGCAAGAGATTCACTATCAAAAGCAGTGGGCACATTTTAAATAAGTCCCTGTTGTGAGAAGTAATTAACATGACTTTAAAGTGCAGTAACAGTGGATATCAGACATCAGGAGACTGATAGTCCTGCCATGAGGTGGAGTCCTGGCTGGCCTGCCCTGTTTCTAGGATGTTAATATAGGTCAAAATCCTTGATTGGCACTAACCCAGAATGTGCTGACAGACATTCACAAAAGCTGCAGCTCATGAAGAAATCTCCAACCAGGCTTAAAAAATAAACCCAAACCACCTTATTCTGCATCAGGCACAGAGATCCCTTTGTTACACTTCTGCCCCACGGCTGAGCTCCCGGCACGGCTGGACAGTGCTGTGGTGTTCCTGATGTGCCCTGAAAAATGTGGAAGAGCTGCACAGATCTGTCTGCAGCTGTATTTTATTTCTCTGCAGGTTCAGACAAACCCTTGCTGTGTGCTGACACTAGTTTGTCTGGGTGAGTGCTCCCTCACCCGAGCCAGCCGTCTGACCTGGATGCAGCAGCCAGGAGCACATGGGTGAGCAGATCTCCCCTGACATAATCCCAGATTACCAGACCTGCACAGCCTGCCTTGTTTTTACCCAGATCTCAGCCATGCTCCCTGCACCAGCCACACTCTCAGTAACACCTTTCCTGCACTGCCATCCCTTAGGAATAATAATTTCTGGATGCTTTTGAAAGAGGAGCAACCCTGAGCCTCACCTGGTACCTCCACCCATCCCTTCTGTTCCACCTCAGCCCTGGGTGCAGCAGTGTCACAGTCATGCCTGTGCCTGTCCAGGGACCCCATGGATGTGGACCGTGCCCTGTGGACTGAATTCCCACCTTGGCCTCAGAGCTGCCTCGTCACTGTGCACCTGCCTGGTGGTCACAGGACTGTACCTGACTCTGGTCACCTCGCTGGGCCTCACCCTCACCGGCTTCCTGGGCTTTACGCTGGCAGGAAGCGACTGATGTTGGGATATGACACTGCCTGAGAGGGAAAGGACAAACTATGGAACCTGTAAGGAAATAAAGAGGGGTAATGTAAGCAAAAACTAGTACAAATTATAAAAGAGCAAAAATACTAAAATGAGCATGCTCAACAGTACAAATCCCAGCACAGAACTATGTGGGATTTTACTGTAAAAACCTTTTATTCCTTATTCTGTTTTTAATAAGGATTTACGTTAATCTTCCATGGCAACCAAGTCCCTTTAAGAACCTTTGGTGAAGGAAATCAGTAATAGGGTTTCCAGAAATCAAAGTCCGCTCTTGAGCCTTTATCAATTCTGGACAGCACTTTGAGGGAAATAGTCATGTAAATATTGTCCATGTCATGACCACAATTTCCATCTCTGCAAGGAAAAGTAGAATCAGTAACAGAAAATTAAATGCTGTGTCTTGAAGAATGGCTAAAAAGGAATATATGATGCTTGTAACAGCTATTACTCAAGATATTTAGTGTATTCTTAGGCTGCCTTAAACACTGATGTATTTAATGCCATTCTGCACAGAATCAGCTAACAAAAAATAATGGTTCAAATAAATGAGTAAAAGAGGAGACAGAAGTAAGTTCTTTTGCTGAAACAGGAAAGGATCAGAATAATCCCACTGTTTTAGTGTAAGGTAGAGATTTTTCTCTGGTGTCTGGGGCAGGGTGGTATAGAAGACAGGATCCTGACTCAGTCCAATCAATCCACAAGATCTGATCAAATAAGGTAAGCTTTTCCTATGAAACAAATATAGTAGAGGAAAGAGAGTGAACAAATTTTGGTAGTTCCTTTTTTTCATTGAAACAAAAAAAGATCAAACAACAAAGTACTTCTGCGTTTTAGCTCTCATGTCGTGAACTGTGTAAAACGCAAAGAAGTGTGTGGTGCCTGTGTGGTGGTGTGTGCTGTGCTGAGCAGGCAGGCAGAAATGACAAAATAAATTAAGAACAGGTAAAACTGATGTAGCCCTTCTCAATCCGTCCTGTTCGATGGGGGCAAGGGGTCCCCTCTCCAGAGGGGTTAAAGCAGTAGCTCCTCACCCCTGTGCTTCAGCGCTTCCTCCTCAGGAGACGGATTGCTATTTTTGCCTAATTTAACAATTTTTTTAAAATTTAGCTGTTTTTTAAGAAATTCTGTATCCTGCTCTGAAATGAAGGCGTGTGGCGGGTACAGGTACACCGACCTACCTACACCTTAAGCACAGGTAATTCTGCACCACACCATCAGCTCTTCACCCGCGGTCTCCCCGGCCCGCCCGACCCGCGACAGCGCCGTGACAGCCTGGGCGGGCTGTGAGGCGGCAGCGCCCGCCATGTTGTGACGGAGTGGCGCCTCCCAGGCGGGCGGGATAACGCGGGGGCTGCACTCGCTGAGTCGCGGCCCATTAGTTCACTCCGGGGGGGCGAGTGGCACAGTCCCGCTTCGCCCACACGTCACCCCGGGGCTGGCGACACCATCTCACCCAGACCTCGCTCCCCCTGAGAGAGGCAGCGCGGCCTTAGTGGATCCCCGCCCCTAACGGGTCTCACTGTGATTGGTGCGAACACACCCCTCCTCCCCTCTGATTGGTCAGGTTCGTTGTCACTCCGGGCAGGCACGGGCGCTCACTGGCCGGCGCTGGCGGCAGCCCCGCCCCCCGCGCGGCCGCGCGGCCGGAGCGGAGCCGCGACCGGAGCCGCCGAGCGGGGGCGGCTTGAGAGTGAGGGGGCCGGGGCTGCTGCCGCGATGGAGCCAAAACCGGCGGATCCGCTGCTGTGCGACAGCCTCATCCTCTGGGTGAGTGGCGCAGGGGTGCTGCCGCCTCTGGGGAACCCGCGGGGGCAGCGAGGAGGCGCAGCTGGTGGGGGAGAGTTCCACCCGTCTCTTCCATCCCTCCGTCCCCTCCGTCCCCGGCCGAGGGTCGGGCACAGGCGCGGCCGCGGCGGTGGGGCTGCCCGGGACACTGTTCTCCGAGCCCGCAAAAGGTTCCCGCAGCACCCCCGGGGTGTGGATGTGATGGTTGGAATATCGCCTGGGCCCAGTAGTGGTTCTCCAGCCGTGGCTTCAGTGTGGAAACTGCTCAGTAATTTATAATAATAACAATAATAAATGCAATTAATTTGAATTGGCGGGCGCAGAAACCTCAGAGCGTTTCACAGCAGCTGGTTAAAGCGTGTATTAGTCAGGCACACCACACCTGGGTGTGGAGTGTTACCTGGGCCAGAAGCACCGGTTTAGAATTGTGGAATCATTCAGGTGGGAAAAGGCTTTTAAGGTCATTGAGGACAATTGTGTTTGTTAAACTCATCAATCGTTGCTTCCTCTTTATCTTTCTTTCCAAGCTCCTTCCGTGACCTTGTCTGTAAATCTGGTCCTGCAAGTGCAGTGTTTTTGGTGAGAGTGAGCTCTGCTAAATAGAACTGCTGTGTGACACCTCGGCAGGGGAGAGGCCACGATTACCTGAGAAGGGTTTCTCTAGAAATAGCAGGTGTTTTGCATCTGTGAGGTGTCAATCATGGAAGAAGGGAGTGTTTTGGAAGCATTGTGGAAATCTAGTAATGAAACTGGTAAAAGTGGTAGCTACTAGGGTAGGTAGTGTTCTTAATTTCTGCATGGCAGCACAGAAGTTTTGAAGAGTTAAAGTTGGTAATAAATCACTGAAAAGCAATTTCCTTCTTTTTCTCCCTTAATTTTCCTTTTAGTGACATTCTAAGGTTTGGTTGGTCTGTAGAATTTTGGTTGTCTTATGCTTACCTCTGTGGACCTGGGTTAATCTTTCTGTTTTATGCTCTTTAACTTTGTATTTTCCTCTCAGTAGTCATGTAAGAATAATTCCATCATGATTCAGTTGCAAAAAAAAATCACTGCATTCCTGAACTCTTTCTTAAAATCCTTAAGTCAGCAGTACTGAACTGCTCTATAATTTTTGTAATTCCTGCTTAAAACATTTTAAGCCTTATTCTCATTTCTAGTATCTTCACAGTGCATAGCTGTAATTACATCCTGAATCTTAAAGGGATGTAAGTCTGGCCTTAAGATGAGCTTTGTGTCAATGTAAAGGAACATCCAGCCCTGTGTTCAGGTTTTCTATACAACCCTCAGCAGAGGCATTGTCAGCATGTTCTTAGATTTAACACCCTATTTCTCAGACCTAGTTTACAACTTTATAGAAACTGATTGTTAACACTCTAAGATGTGTTTCAAACATCCTTCACAAGTTGAACTTCAGTGTGAATAATAGGGAAAAATGTGGTGTAGGGAGTGGGAATGAAATGCTGGAGACAAAAGAGTTATTTAGCTCTGTGGTTCTAAAGGTTTCTCAGTTTGCTTACTCATTAATGTAGCAAGCACATGCTTATGATTTTCTGTTCTGATGCCAGGGTGTGTATTTTTCTATTTTTATTTTACCAAATTCTATATTAGAAAACATGCATTATCCAGAGAAGAAAGAAAATTTGAATAAAAACATTATCTGTTGGTTTTGCAACCCAGGTGTCATTGAATTATGAAGTTCTGAGGATGTTGCAGAAAAAACAAAATGCAGTTGAATTGAGTTTTGGGGGAAATGGAGGGAAAAGATTAACAGCAGTAGGTGTAGTGATGGCACTGGTGTTGTTGGTAATGTTAATTCTGTCCAGTAGCTGAGTTTATTCTATCAATATTCTGGGGTTAAGAATGGGAATGTTTGTTGCTACTTTAAAATCTGATTGCTCTGTAATCCCCAGTGTGTAAAATCTGGGTAAGAAATGGAGAAACTCAACCCCACATTGTCCAGGTGACATTGAGGGCACACCTTCCCGAGGTGGAGAGGATGATTTCCTCTGGGCACTGTGAACACTCATGTTTCATCTGCAGTTGTCTGGTGGTGGAGCTACAAAATTCATTTTTCAGCTGTTTATTGTGAGCATAATATCTGTGTGCCTGAGAGAAAAACACTTGCTTCTCCTGTAGTAGCAGGGTGCATTTGGGCTGGAACTCACAAAATGGTTTTCAGTGTGAGTAGCATGTCCTTGAAGCTATATTTAGTAAAACTAAAAAAACAGAGCACTGCTACAGCCCTGAAGTCTGTGGCTGCTTCTGCCAACCTCCTCCCCATGCCTGCTGCTTTCATGGGGTTTGCTAGAACAGTAAAAATCCATTTTGAGGAAATGATTGGGCTGGCATGAGGTTTGGAGAACCCGTAATTAATACTTCTACTCTCATATTATTTCTAGACCCTTATGTGACTTTTAAATATATAAAGAAACAGACTGTCAGTCCTGCTTTATAATTAATTTTAATTAGCTGTTTCTATTCTGGGAGATTCTGCATAAAGCAGTGTCACCTATCATGGGGTTTTCTAAGGCTTTGCTTAACAGGCCCAGGTGAAATGGTAGTACCTGTGCTTAGCAATTCCCTTGGTTTGCAGCGGGGTGTATCCACAGGGCAGCATCTCAATCCTGTGCTGTGAATTCTGTGGGTTTTGGGAAGCTCAGCCTTTGACTCGTAGTCGTGCCTGTGTTGGTGTGGAGGCTGCTGGAGTAACAGAAACCAGGGCTGTCAGTCACAGCAGCTTTGGGTTGTGGTGTTCCACTTAATCTTTTATGTAACCTGCAAGGGATTACTGACTTCTCACTTCCCGTAATACAAGATTTTAAACTGCTTTTTCAATCGAAAAACAAATGGAAAAAACAGTAAAAACAAACCCTTGCTCTGCATATTTTTCTCTTGCCTAGATTTGGCTGTTTTTGAAGCAAGCAAATATTGAGTTGTAATCACTCTTTGTAAACACAGACTGGACAAAAACTGCCTCAAATTCTCACAGCTGGAAACTGCTTTTCCATCACTGTGGTCCAAGTAGCTCCATTTCCCAAACACAAGGTCATTCACCAGTGTGTTCTGAAGAAGCTTGTGTTTCACAGAACATTTGGGAAAGCCCTCTTGCAGATGAAAGGTAATTTAGGACACTGACTTCTTAAACCTCCTACATTTATGATTTCTGCAGTGGACAGAGATTATAAGGACCTGTACTCGCTCCAATTCCATTTCATATACACATCTTTTAGTAGCACTAACAGCAAACTTTCTATTTTGTTCATAGTGGTGAAGAAGGCTCTTATTTTCCTGTCATGAACTGTCGTGTATGGAAATGGCTCTCTCACCTAGAATAGTTAGTTCTGAGGTGATTGATTGTGGAGGAATAAAATATTGCAACTCTAAATATACATCTAATTCTGTCATAATGTTAGATATAAGCTTGGGGATAGCTTAAAAAACCCCCAAAATATCTAAAACGGGGAAACATTTTTAACACTGAGGTAATCCCATCCTACGTCTATTACTAAGTTCTTGTTGTAAAAAACTGGAATTTTTTTTCTCCGCAAATTTCACACCTTATTCTGATACCCTTTTTTATTTAGGTAATTATGGCCAGAACTAAGCACTGCAACATAATTGGAGGGATGGTTAAATACAACTGTAGTTTCCCAAGTTATGATTCCATAATTTGATTTACAATAGAAGGTCTGGCATGAAAAAGCAAAGCGTGGGTGGTTGTACTAACTTTTTAAGCTACTAGTCATAACAGTCACAAGTATTGAGATAATTGGGTTGGCTTAAAACCTGCATAGTTCAAAAAGGATTTTAGCTGCCTCAAGTGAAAAGACATCTTTAACTTAAAGAGGAAAAGGAAAGTGGTAACTAATTTCCTGTCCTTTTTTCTGCTGAATGAGAAACACAGTGTTTTTTCCCTGTTTTAGCTGCAGACCTTCAATACTGCTGCACCTTGCAGAGATGTTCAGGACCTGACTAATGGGGTTGCCATGGCACAGGTGCTTCACCAAATGTAAGTTGATTCTCCAGTTTGAAGAAGAGGTATTTAATTCCTTGAGGTTTTTGTGTCTGACATACGTAGTTGCTTTTAAAGTAGGCAGAAACTCGGAGTGGGCAGTTTATAGAAGAAGGTAGAATATGCCTGTGTATTGCTGTTTTGGTGATGATATAACAGTTGAATAATAACATGATGGAGAAGGTGATAAAAATATATATATATAAATATATATGTTTTTATATATATAGATATATATATATATGTTTATACTGCAGTATAAAGGATAACTTTTTCACTTTTCCCGTCAACTTTTCCCGTTTTGTTGTTGGCTCAAATAATTAAAGAGAAGTCTGCATTACCCTCTCCTGCTCAAATTGTAATTTTGGTTATTAAGAAATTACTTAAACACCACCACAAACCCCCACCCCCGTAAGAAAACCCCTCCTGAACTCAGAAGCCCTCCTGTCTGCTTGTGAAGATTTAAAATGTGCTGTGTAAAGACAGAAATCATATTTTTCCTGAAACATGGCAAAAATTGATTTAGGATTTGCTGAGGATTGCTTCCCACGTGTTTAGGGTGCTGGGTTGCCACAGGCTCTGGGCAGACCTCTGCACAGCCAAGTTGGTTCATGTGCAAGTTGGGATAATAATTGTCCTTTATTAGGTGCTTTGAGACCAGTGAATAAACAGTACGTTGTAAAAGTTAATATGTTGTTAAATATTGTGTCAATGTCAGTGTGATTGTACTGCTTGGCAGCTTGTTGTGTATAAACACCTCCCACAACAACTCATCTTTATTTATGCTGGCAAAGTGAAAAGACTTCTGCCCAGGGGAACCAAATACACAAAAAATACAAAATGCCAGTAGTTCAAACTGTTTTTTTAATAAGTGCCTTTGACAAATTGTGATGAATGTTAGAAAGTCCAACCTGCAGGAATGGATACCAAACTCAATATCAGCACTAGTCAAAAAGGGATGTTTGTTTGCATGATTCCGATCACTTTATCAGGTATAAAAATTCAGCATGGCAAAGATCTACACATCCTTGTGTTCCAGCTGTTCCCAGCTCAAGCACACATGGAAATTCTCCCAGCCCTGGAAGGTGTCTTAATGCAGCCAGCAGGATGGGAATTTCCTGTAACATAAGTTTACCTTGCAATCTCCAGAAATTCATGCCTCATTAGACACTGTAGTTCAACACCTGGTGATTTAATGCTGGGAATTTGCTATCTTATTTAAGTCTGTGCTTATCAATTACTCATTTAATTTTGTTTCAGAGACGTTGCTTGGTTTGATGCCTCTTGGCTAAATCGCATTAAAGATGATGTTGGTGACAACTGGAGAATAAAGGTATTTAAAACTGAAGACAGTGAAATTTATGAAGTCCTCAGATCTAGCAATCCAAAACCCACAGAATTAAGATCAGGCTTTCAAGCATATTTTAAATGAACTTGAACTGTCTGTTGATAGTTTTAAGTGCCTTCCAGCATTGTTGCATGGGGATTTTCTGTTGGGATATTTAATCAAAATCAAAAATTTTAATTAAAGTTTATAACTTTGTCTTTCATGCACAACAATTAGTCCAGTAATCTGAAGAAGATACTGCAAGGAATTATGGACTACTACCATGAGGTATGGATTATTGCCCTCCTTCACCTGGCTTTTTTTTTTTTTGTTGGCAAGTGAATTTATCTTAAGGACTTCTTTGGCAGAAAGTGTCTGTTGATTATCTGCTAAGCGTGAGGTCTGAGTGAATATAAAATTAATTTTAGCAGATGTATTTTAAATAAGAGTATAATCTGGAAACCATGTCTCTGCCCAGGTAAATGTCATAAGGACTGAGCTGCAGAATCCTGTTGACTTTAGTCTGTGCATTCATGTTTGCTCTTGTCTAGAGAAGCTTTAATCCTCTTGTACACAACAGAACAGACTCAGCAACCCCAGTCTAGGTTTTATGATATTCACTTGGAAGCTGAAAGCCAAGGTACAAATCCTCCTGGATCATTTTCTCTGCATGGCTCACCGAGTCCAGATTTTTTGCGTGATACTGGTTTTTCATGTTGTACGGAAGTGGGAGTCTGCTTTATCTCTTAAATTACTTTTTTTCCATTTTTTTCAGTTCTTGGGTCAGCAGATTTCAGAAGAGCTTATTCCAGACTTAAACCAGATATCTGAGAACTCAGATCCCACTGAACTGGGCAGGCTTCTGCAGCTTATTTTAGGTTGCGCAGTCAACTGTGAGAGGAAACAAGGTAGGCACTACCTTAACCTGTTCAACAATCACCAGACTTTGACAAGTGATTGTTAAGGTATAAGAGACTTAGAAACTTTTTTCTTATGTGTCAGAAAGTCTCTATTTTTAATATGTTACATTCCTATTCTGAAACTGGAGTTCACTTAAAAGAAAATCTGTGGGAAACTTCTTTGGATAAAACTCAAGACTTTGTTCAAGTAGGTTTAAAAAAATAGTCTAAAGCATTTGAGGATTATTTGTACTTATTAAAATATGTACCAAGACCTAAAACTTACTATTCAAATGGAAATCTAACAAATTAAATTAAAAACTTACATTGGGAACTCTCTTGTTTGTCTACAGAGTCTCAAAATTGAATTGTTTGTTTTCTCTCCCCATACCAGAGCTAATGCTCCATGCTCCTTACTCTGTTATGCAGAATATTAATTTGTGCAGTTAAGAGTTTATAATCTCTTGTGTTTATACCGTATTAGTGAATAATAATGTTGTTGGTTAACAGTAGTCCTCTGTACAAAAAGACCACTACCTGTTCTGAAGGAGCTTTATGGATAATAGTTTCTTCTGGATCTTTCTGCAAACACTTTATCACATTACTCAAGCTGTTAAGATGAACGTGGTCATGAGTCACTGCAAATTGTTTTTCACAGAACACATACAAAATATCATGACCCTTGAAGAATCTGTTCAGCATGTTGTCATGACAGCCATTCAAGAGGTAGGTAACAGTTCACAGCCTAATGCTGTCAGTTGAGAAGTCCAAATATCTATTTGTTACCTTTGACCTTTGCTTGAATGAAAGAATTTACAAGGAAGACTGTAAGTACTTTCCTAAATTATTTGGGAGGTTCAGGACCAAGAGGCCCCAGATTCCAACCAAGGGGTTTTGATTTTAGTCTCATGTGCCCAAACATACAACAAATGCTTAAGAGTTTTCATTCCACACAAGAAATGTATATAGTTGCCAACCACTGATTATACTGGAGTCAGGTTCTGAAATGTTCCAGTGTTATAGTCTTGGTCCCAGAATTAACCTGATTGTGTCTGTGAGGCTGCATTGTTGCAGAAGGACCATTCCAGCCTCTGATTTACAAGCTTGCAGCTGCATCTCTTCCATTCTTGTCATGGTGTGCTCCTCCTCCTGTTTTAATTTGGTTTTGGTTGGATCATCTTGGAGATCCAGCTCACGGCTTAGCTCTGCAGTCACTCACATTTGTAAGCTTAAGGACTGAAGCAGAGTGTGGAGAAAGGCAAAAACTAAATACTGACTTTGAAGAAAAGGTGGTTTGTAACTGCAACCTCATCAAGGTGTGAGTGGAGTTGGTAATAGGCTTTAAAACTCAGATTTAAATTGACTGGATAGTCTTTAGAGGTACAGGGGTCCTACTGGTAGAAAGAAATCCATAAACCTCTTGGTTGTTGTCTTCTGATTAATTAAAATTTCTGAAGAAGGTCTAGAAATAATACAGTAATTCCTGAGTGAAAAGTAAAGCTCTGTAATTGTTGACAGATACACTGTGTACCTCTTTGTACTGGAGATCAGTGAGAGCAGTGTTAATGTTCCCATTGTTTGCTTAGTGGCAATTAACGGAGTACAGAGAAGTGTGATGACTGTTAATTTAATTGACTGAAATCCTGTCCTCTGGTTCACTCCATTTTAACTTCAACAGATCACAGATATATTCAATAAGATATTACTGCTAACTTTTTTTTTTTTTTGAGAGGGGGAAGGGAGGGAGAGGTGAAAAATGTAATCTTATTCTAGATTTGTTTAAATCCTTTACCAATCATGAGGTGGGTTTTATTATTACTATTAATCTATTTTGACATATTGAAGGAATGCAGTGATATAGTGGAAAATACAATTGGTACTCTGTAGGCAGTGAATTTACAGATATTTAACCTCTAACTTAACCTTTTTTCCTGTGGCCTCTTCTTGTAGCTCATGAGCAAGGAAGTAACGAGTCCTTCCACCTGTGATGCATCAAGTGAAATGGAACAGCAGGTAACTGCCTAATATTTGTGGCTGTTGTAGATCAAACCTGAACAATAAGCTGGTTTCTTGCCATCCTTAGAGTGAAGTAATGTTGTTTTTCAGTGCTAATTAAGTAAAAAGTTATCTGCTGTTCTATAGCTTCTTAAAAAAAAAAAAAACCACAACCAAAAAACAACCAAAAAACAAAACAGTGCCTGCTATGTCATCTTACTGGATGGGGTAAAACTGGTCAGTGCAAGAAGAGGTGAGGGTACATCAAGGCTCAGCCATGCCAGGCTGAACACTTCAGGTTATTTTTAAGGGGTCATGAAAAGTCTTGATAACCTTAACACTACAAGTTACACATAAAATGAAACTTGTCTTTACAAGTAGCTGCTCATAAAGGAGCATCAATATTTCTATTCTAAGATGAAGGGCAGGCATTTCTTTAACAGGCAGGGATTTTGAAATTGTGACCACATGAATGCTCCTGTATTTCATTTTGTTATGCCTTTAGCCCAAGTTGCTGTGTTTGCTGTTTTTCAATAATTTACTTGTTACATGTGGCAATCATTTAGAAGACAAGTGAAATGAACAGGGATCCTGATGTAACAGTGTATATATAGGTTTCTGTGTCAGTGTGTGCACCTGACATACTTCTTAAACAGTTCATATAAGCAGTTAAGTTGTTTTGTAAGCTACAACTGTGAGCACTTTGGATATGGGCCACAGTGATTGACTGTCTTATTTTTTGAAAGCTTAAAAGAGCCTTGGAGGATCTTCAGGAAGCATTAGCAGAAAAAGAAGAGTTAGCACAAAGATGTCAAGAGCTTGATTTGCAGGTAAGAAACAGCAAGTTGCTTACTTCTTTAATATGTAGTGGTACTGCTATTAAGATGCAGAAGTGAAGGGCAAAGTGAATTTTGCATTTAAATTTCTGTGAGAATTCTTGTGGGGGAAAAGCAATCATTCTGTACTCCAAAATGCAGTTACTGGGGAATGTTTTCCAATGGAAGTGTAAGCTGAGGTCCTGTGCCAGCTGTTACCTCAGATGGTCTTTGATCTCTTACCTTTGTTTACCTTCAGTAGCAGGTAGTGTTAAAACAATGTTCTCATGGTTGTAAAAATCGCCCTTCTCATTTTTAATCACTGCTTCCTCTAGTCTTTTGTACTGTGTCCAAAAAATCCAGTTCATGTAATAACCAGTCATTAGATTTAATCACAGGAAAATGATGCTGTTTGAATAGGAGTTGATGAATGACTAAATTTCGAAATTTATCTAAAATTTGTTAACTTTTTGTCATGCACAAGTGTAGCATGGAGGATACTTCTGGATAAAATAATGGAAACTAATAGATCCTTGCTGACATTTTCAAACAACAGTAATAATAGACCTATTTTTGTTTTTAATGGATATAGCAGTTAATCAAGTCACTCTTGAGAAAAAGTAGAGAGGATTTCGTAACAATAAAGAGAAATTTGCATTTCAATCAACTTTTTAAAGAAAAAAGAATCCATTTGATACTCTTAAGTGTGATTCCTCTTTTATGGCACAATGATCTGAGAATAGAAAGAGTTTTATCTGGCAAGGCACTTCATCTCAAATTTGGCTCTGCACAAAGAGAACATTTGGATTGCATCTTCTTAGAGGAGCCAAAGGGCTGTACTGGCTGTGTGAACATCTGAAAATGAACACCCACAAAAGCAGAGGCCAGCTTTACATTTCTTACAGGCAGTGACAACTGAAAAAGTTGAATACTTGTATATGAAGTAGCTCAGAGCTAGTTGCCATGCCCAGGAAGCTATTGTTATAATGGAATTGGTATTTAATTTTCTTTTTCCTTGAGGCAGCAGTAAGGCTTCCTAGTGAGAACAGAGATATAAAAGTGAACAGAATCTGCAGGAGAAGTCCCAGGCTTTCAGCTGTCTCCCACAAACTTGTCTTTCCAGATTTCTCTATTAATTAATCATAAGCTATGCAAAACCAGTTGCTCATAAAATAGTATGGGACAGGTGAAAGGTGTTTAAGGGAAAGGTACTGCTGAGTATAAACAGAGGAGTTAATGTCACCACACTCTGTAATACTTTGATGTGTGTTTAAAATATCTCTTTATAATCTGTGTTGACTTTGACACCACTTCTGTTATGCTGAAATAATAAAAGAGAAAACTATCAGAAAGGAACTGAGAAAAGATGTAAAACTTGCTCCGAGTTGTGTCGTAGTTTGATTTTAAGGTTTTTTTAAGTCTGAGATGGGAGATGTCTTAATGTTATTCTTAAAGTCTGAATGTTGTACATGCTTAAGGAGTGGCTGAACCTTGAACAGGAAGTGTTTTGCTGAGCAAGGCTCAGATACGCTCTCTACTCACAGATGTTTCTGTGAATGCAAATAGTAAATTACATCTGGTATTGTAAAAAAGGGGTGAACCCAGAAAGCCAGCACCTAATGGAGTGGTAGATTAACTACTGTTTGATTTTTATATCTGTTTGACTGATAGACTTTAAAATTATGATCACAAACAAATTGTTTCTTAATATTGCATACTCTAGGTTGTATGTATTTTATAATATCATGATATGTTTTTTTAATTTTATTTATTTGAAGCCGTAATATTGACTGACACTTCTCATTTAAACTAATTCTTAATAAATTCACTTGTAAGGTCTCAGTCTTCCTTGATATTTTCCAAGAGTATAAGAAAGGTAGGTTTACTTTCTGATTCAGGAAAACATAACCCAAAAAGCATATTGTCCCTGTTTAAATGCCAGTTGACTAACACATGCTACGTGCTCTTGTGTTTGACAGGACGTTAAAATTAACACAACAGCTATCACTAGAAAAACTTTAAAGGTTCTATCCTCCTAATCCTTCCCCATTTTATGGCTGTTAATATACTTCCAGTGAAGTGTTGTATCCTCATTTGCTTAGCTGTGAGCACCCAGTATCTGACTGTTGCCCAGTGCATGCTCTCTCTGAAGCTGGCCAGGTTTTCTTTTGCGTGTGTGCTTACGGCGCCTGAAACCGCTTCCGAACGCGCAGCCATTCACTGCTGAGCACGGCAGTCCCTGGGTGTGCTGGCCATGCCATCCTGCTGCTTATTGTCCAGTACAAGCAAGATGGAGAGTAACCTTTGCACCAGTTTTGGAGTTTTTTGTACGGCGTCCGTGGTGTTTTTAATGAAAGTAGCAGTTCCTCTCCATATCACTTTGTGTGCCTTTACTGTGGTTTCAGTTACGAAAAATTGTCTTTTTTTTTTTTTTTTTTTTTAGAAGGACTTTTCCTTTAGTGCTTCATAACTGTCATACACTAAAGCATCTGTATGCTCAAGTGTGCTCTGTAAAACTATGTTCTAAAATTTCTAAGCGCTCAACCTTTTTCATAAACTAATTTGGTGACATCCTGCTGCCTTGCTTGAGTTCTTTGGACAGGTCTTACAGTGTTGATGCTGTTTTATCTATACTAGGTAGCTGCCCTCCAGGATGAAAAAAACAGCTTGATGTCAGAAAATGAGATTATGAATGACAGACTAGAGCAATTAGACGACTCTCTTGATGATCCAAATACTGTGGTTGCAAAAAAGTATTTTAATGCACAGTTGCAGCTGGAGCAATTGCAAGAAGAAAACTTCAGGTATTAAATTATTTCCTTCAAAAATCCCTCACTTGTCTAATATGTCCTGAGAATTTCTGATACTCTTTTGGCATTTTCCATCTCAATTTCTTTTGCATTAAAAGCTTTCTAGTGCTGTATAAGCATATTTTAAAGATAGTCCTTATATTTAAAAAGAAAAAGACACTGTTACTTGTAAAAGATATTACTTGGGTAATATACTTTGGTATAGCCCTCTGATACTTAAAAAAAGGGGAGGGAGGACAGAAAATGAGTGCTGAAGTGATTGGTGTGTAAACAAAACAAACCCCAACCCCCCTAACACCATCATATCTCTTTACTGTACTCTTTTCTTTCACGTATTGGTCTTTCTCTCTGTGACACATAGTGGGGGGAAAATTACTTTACATGTGATCCCCTGATACTGGTGTGGCAGATTTGTAGTGAACAATCCATTATGATTTAACAGGTAGACAGTAAAAAGTTCCGTGTTTGCAATAGCATTTTTCTGGTGACTTAACAGTTTTCCTTTGTCTTATTTTTAGTAATTCTAGCACTAAATGAGAACTGTATAATAACAAAATGGTCCTAACAGAGTTCCTGTTTTTGATATGGTAGGCTTGAAGCTGCAAAAGATGATTATCGTGTCCATTGTGAAGATCTAGAAAAACAACTGATTGAACTGCAACATAGAAACAATGAACTGACCTCCCTGGCAGAAGAATCTAGAGCCTTGAAAGATGAAAATGATATTCTTAGGTATGTAGTAGGGGGAGCTCCACACACACGCACACACATTAGGAAGATTTAATGACTAAATCCAAGGCTTTGTATTTAACAAGATTTTTTGGAGTTGTTACTTCTGCAGATCTTACCTGGATGAGGTGTTTGACAAAGCAGAGATGAAGTGGCAGCTTTCAGGCAAACCTCTGTTGTTTGACAAGAATAACACATAGAATTAATTAAAGCAGAATTAATGACTACAGAACTTATGCTTCTTCATGTGGGATGGAAAGTTGAAGTTCTAAAGTAGAAAAGCATATATGCAGCTAGAACTTTGACACAATTTTGGTGTCAGCATTCTAGGCCAGATTTAGGTTAGGGAGATCATTAACAAAATGAAGATGAAATACAAAGTAACATCCATGAGAATTTAAGGTAACATTCCAGCTTGTGTAAACTGTATAAAATACCAGACCACCCAAGAACTCACACTGTGAAAGCAGATCTGCTATTTATAAAATATTATCAATAAAACATAGAAATGAAAATTGGTTCCAGGGGCTTAACTTACAATGATTTTTAAGTAACATCTGAAACAAATGTTAACTATAGATTTTTTTTCCATAATTTTCTTGTACACAGTTTTTAAAGATATGAGAATGCAGATATTAAACACAAATATTAAAATTAATTTGAAATTTATGATTCCAGTATTTTCTTACTGTGTAGATTTTTGTTAGTGATAAGCTGATAATTCTTGGTCATATCTGCTAATGACCATTCTCATAGTGCAATTATGTTTTCATTATGTATAATCCCACAATGAGAACACCTGTGTGGTTTTTCCTTCCCAGGTACCAGCAGTTTGAGATGACTATCTAGCACGGGATGTGGTGCATTTACATTGCACCCCACAGAATTCCCCAGGGGTATTTGACACACTAACCCTTGCTCATACTTCTTGCATACAACTGTCAGTCTTACTCTCACTTAAACCCTGTGCTGATTTCAATTTTTATGAGCAAGTTTATGTTGATTATACATTTAAAAATAAAGCAGTAAGATGTAAGTGCTGCTAAGCGTGTTGCACCTCTCTTTCAAAATAGCTTGAATGCTCATGACAGCAGAATTGGGCTTTTGAAGAAAAATGCTCTGTGTTCTAATTCCTGTTCATACTTTAAGGGCTACTGCAGACAAGGCCAGTAAGCTGGAATCAACTGTGGAAGTGTATCGGAAGAAGCTGCAGGATCTGAACGACTTCCGCAGACAGGTCAAGTCGCTGCAGGAGACCAACATGATGTACATGCACAACACAGTCAGCCTGGAGGATGAGCTGAAGAAAGCCAACGCAGCACGAGCCCAGCTGGAGACCTACAAACGACAGGTGAGGCCACACTTATACTGGAAATATTAATTTTTCCTCAGATACTTGGGAACAGCTTAATGTAACAGCCCATGGGCTTAACCTGTGTCATCCCCTTAGAATTTCTTATTTATGAAACTTTCATACACTGCCATTCACTTCTGGGGTTTTCCCCTCTTTGTTAAACTGGGAAGCTTAACTGGTTGCCCTCTCAACTGATGTGAAAGTCTGTGGTTTGCAATGTTTTCTTTTTTACTGTCTTCTGGGAGAGGTTGTTCAGCTATTACTGAGATCACTTGTAAGGAATCACAGAATCACAGAATGGTTTGGGTTGGAAGGGACCTTCAAGATCATCTTGTTCCAACCCCTTGCCATAGGCAGGGACACTTTCCACTAGACCAAGTTACTCCAAGCACCATCCAGCCTGGCCTTGAACGTTTCCAGGGATGGGGCAGCCACAGCTTCTCTGGGCAACCCTCACAGGAAAGATCCTCACCACCCTCGCAGGAAAGAATTTCATATATCTAACCTAAATTTTCTCTCTTTACAATCTGAACCCATTCCTCCTTGTCCTGTCACTACATGCTTATATTCTTATATTTATTCATGGAAATGTATTTTAAACTGTAGTTTTATTTTAATTTCAGTAGTAATTAAAAGAGAGAGTTAAATATAAAAAAAACCCCAAACCAACCAACTAACAAAAAAAACCCCAAAGCACACAGGCTCCTGTCTCATCTTCCCTCTCCTAAGCTTGAGGGACCAGCTGTTTTATTTTGGCTGAACTGGACAGGAGTGACTGTTTTAATATAGCTTTTAGAAGTAGCATCTCGCAGTATTCATACAGTGTTTTTCTGAAAAGGTCCAAGAGCTTCATAACAAACTGTCTGAAGAATCCAAAAGAGCTGATAAACTGGCATTTGAAATGAAGAGACTTGAAGAAAAACATGAAGCTTTAATCAAAGAAAAAGAGGTAAGTCTCTCTAAGGGAGTTTATTTGAGCACCTAATGTCTCTCTTAAATGCTCTGCTGGAGAAAAATCTTCCTGGAATTAGTGTCTTCATAAAAATTGTGTGTGTATACACATATAATAAAGAATCATAGAATCATCCAGGTTGGAAAAGACCTCCAAGATCATCAAGTCCAACCTGAAAAGTGAATGTGTCAGTATTAGTTCTACTTATTGTTATTTGCTCTTAAAATGGAGCAGTTTGACTTAACTCCACCTCAAATCTTTCTTGTTAGAGACTGATAGTGCAGTGTGATGCATTAAAAGAAACAAATGAAGAGCTCCGGTGTTCACAGATGCAGCAGGATCACCTGAGTCAAACAGGTATTGCTGTACCTTCAGAGGCTTTTTTATTTGTATTAGAGATTTCTTTGAGTGTGTTAAAGTAAACTTCCCATGTGATTTCAGGTGGCTCTCGTGTTAAAAGCCATGAGAATCTTGCTGCTGAAATTCTGCCAGTGGAATACAGGTGAGACCAAAAGGTAGAGGTTGTTTTGGGATGTTCATGGGTGGGTCTTGACGCTGCCTTTGGGAAGGTTCATGACTCTGTATCCCAATTCCTGCTTTGCCTCCATGATGCTTATTCAGACCACCATGTAGCCGTTAATTGTTATTTTCCTATACTACAATTAATTTTTTTTAAAAGCATATCAGATTGCTGTAAATAAATCTGGGTTTGGAGTGACAACTTAAAACTTTGCTCATATCTCTTACAATTTGAAAACATCACAATATTTTAAGTTACCTTTTAATAAAAAATTGGAGTGTTACCCCAATTATATCATTAAGCAGAACTTGATTTACTCACACTTTAAGGCTGGGAGAGTGAACAGGAATATTACTTCTTCCTCTTCGTCACCTTCTTAATTAACAGGGACTTTTTTGGGGTTTTTTTTGATTCAGAGAAATGTTTATTCGGCTGCAGCATGAAAATAAGATGCTCCTGTTGAAACAGGAAGGGTCAGAAAATGAGCGTATTGCAGAGCTCCAGGAACAGCTGGAGCAGAAGCACCGGACAGTGAACGAACTGGAAACTGAGAAAAGGTGAAACTACATCTTAAAACACAGCAAGAAGTGATTTCTGGAATTTGAGAGTGGCCTTGTGGTCTGTATCTATAGTGTAGTGCCGTGTAGGAAGCCAAGTACCTTTTCTTTCACCAGTGTAACCATAAATGACACATTGCTTTTAGGACACTTTTCTTAGTTCTGAGTGATTCTTGAAAGTAGACCAAGAATGGATATAAACTCTATTTCTAGAACTTCAAACTGCTAGACCATGGGATATGGTCTGAATTTCTCTATCAGTTAATGCTGAAAGCAGTTCATTAGAATATGAGAGTTTTTGGTAATAAAGGTTTCTCAAAACTTAATTCATTATAAAATGTTGACTAAAGCTGCATGTGCTTGTTTCAGCAGAAGTTCAAGTCAAACTAAAAATCAGTTTCTTTGTGGCTTAAGTCCTCCTGGATCTACCTCTGAAAAACTGTTATCCAGACATGAAGCAGAAAAATTTGTCTATGATCTATACAGATGACCAGTAACTGTCTTTTCTTCCTAAAAGGCTGAATGAAGAGCGTATTGGGGGATTACAGCAGCAGATTGAAGATCTGCAAAAGACTTTGCAGGAGCAGGGATCTAAGACTGAAGGAGTAAGTAGAAGTTCAGGCTTCTTGGCCTTGAACACAACATACCAGTTTTGTTTTAAGTCCTTCAGTGTAACATCAAGTCCTTTGTTTAGATGTGCAGCTTATTTTTCAGTTTGTCTGAAAAACACCCCACACCAACTGTATTTCAAGTGAAAAGCTCGTGTTTTATGTGATTCCTTTCCTCCACCTTCTTTAAGGAACTGTAACTCTTTTACCTTCTACATTTAGTTTTATCAGTCAATAGTGGTGTAATGAGAGGGGGTGCTTTAAAGAAAAGGATGTGGAATTGATTCTGTGCAATGCAAAAAAATATGAAGGTAGTTACAAAAATGCAGTTTCCTTAGTATTTATTTGCTTTGACTTACTTGTGCTAAGTATTCTTGGCTGATTTGTAAGAGCACTTTAATGTTGCTTGGAATGAAACACTGAAATATAACTGAATTTTAACTCTTCCCTTTCATAGTCCAGCAACCTGAAGCAGAAGTTGGCAGCACACATGTAAGTAAGGCACATGCATCCACAACAGCTTATTTATGCTAAATACAGCTCAGAAACTGCTTAAATCTTTGCAGGGATGTCTTGTCTTTCTAAGCCACTGATTTGGGAATCCTGCATAAAGTGAGTAAAGTATTGGTGTTCTGGTTTTGTCTACTCTGATCATGATGATCTGGTAATACTAGTACCACTTAACTGTCTTAACCACCACTAGCATTTTAAGTGTTCTGATTCTACAACAGACTACTAAAAGCATCACTGTTACTGGGCTCAAAACATATTCCATTCTTCTGGAATACTTCCATCCTCTCAGCAGATGTACTTCCTGCTGGAAGCTGCTGGAGGGGTTTAATTGTTCATTTTTTCCTAGTTTTAGGTAAATGAGTCTCAATTCAGGAGTCACAACTTTTATGGTTCTTCAAAAACACGTACTAATATTTCTGTTTAAACTCAGAAGAATTTCCAGGCTTAAAATAGTTATTTAAGCACTTCTACCATCAAGTTTCAGCTTCTAGCTCTTAAAACTGCATGGAATTATTTGTGAGCTTAATCCTTAGTCCAGTCTTTCATTCACAGGGAAAAGTTGAACGAAGTTCATGATGAGTTACAGAAGAAAGAGGCTGATCTTGCAGAGCTCCAGCCTGATGACAGTCAGAACCGTAAGTTGTTTTGTGTGGGATTTTTGGGCTTTTGGCTTTTTTTTTTTTTTTTAATAAGTTAAGTGTCTTCTGAAATGATTCCCATAGCCAGTGGACTATGGGGTACTTGTCTGGATAGGGGTTTCTGCTGCAGCTTAGCTTTAAACGTGAAATGGGGTTTACGGAGGGGATTTTTTTTGTGCCCGCTGGTGGGCAGGGAGAGGATCCTGGGGGCTTAGTTTTGTTGCACAGCACTCTGCCAAATGGGAATTCAGGGTCAGGTGGGACAGCTGAGACAAAAATCATAACTTAGAGAACTCTGTAGTAGCCAGAAGGTTTATTTTGAGAGTGTTGAAATCAAGGGAACTCAGAAACCTTGAATGTACCACATCTGTTTTTATTTTGTATGTCTTTGTTGGTAATTTCTGTAAATAGCCCAGAAGATTGGAGAGCTGGAAGCAGCTTTACGAAAAAAAGATGAGGATATGAAAGCAATGGAAGAAAGATATAAAATGTACCTTGAGAAAGCAAGAAATGTAAGTGGTTTATTTCTGAACATACACATTCCTCCCTCATAAATTGTTAAACAGATTGATTTGAATGTGTGTGTCCCCACCTCCCAATTAAAAAAGGCATTTTTAATCAAATTGCTCAGCTGCAGTCAGTTAAGTGTATGAGAGAATGGGGTTTATACTAAACATGAGGTACATTAATAATTCCTTTATACCCTTTGGTCTCTGTTAACAGTGTAACAGCCTAATTTTCATCATAATTCCCTGAGCAGTGCCCAGATTGTTTCCATATTCCTCCTCTGAGAAGATGAGGTGCAGAGCTGTTGAGAATCAAACCTGACTTGTTATGCTCTTGTTTTTTGCCTTATCCAGGTGATAAAAACCTTAGACCCCAAGCTAAATCCAGCATCAGCAGAAATTATGTTGCTCAGAAAACAGATACTGGAGAAAGACAAAAAAATTGAAGCACTAGAGGTAAAAATTTTGCATATATCTAATAACAACTTGTAATGTGTTCTGTCCTGATATTAGACGGTCAAGATACTGTTTCCTAATGATTCAGTAATGATTCAGGATTTCAGCTTGGCTGAAATTCTGAAAGGATTGTTGACAGTAGTCCAAATATCAAAAAAAATGGAGAAATGCATTCAGTTTTACAGCAATATTGATGAGACTAGTTAAATAGTTACCTGGACAAATACAGAATTTCTCAACACAGATGAGTAGGCTGATAGGTCTGACTGTATAAATGCTGTGGCCTCAGATTGCTTTTATGCAAGATGTTCTAGGTATATTATATAATAGCAATTCAGTAACACAATAAGAATAGTCAGCTGCTGGAAGTACATTCTTGTCTTTTCAGCTGGAAAGATTACTAAATTATTTATAGACTTTCTGATACGCCCCACACAAACCCTCAGAGTATATTTCTAAGTTGTTTCTGTGTTTCTGACTGCAACTTTTATGAAGTTTAGCCTCTTTGAAGTAGTCTGATAATTTATCTCTCAGTCTTTAATAAAGTATCTTTATTTATACTTCTAAACTTTCTAGTTATTTTGTATATTGAAGCATTTCTGCTACCTCTGTTTCACTCAATGGGCTGCCATAAGTTTATGCAGATAAAATTTGTGTTTTAATTGAGCTTGTCTTCCCTCTTGTCTCCTTGTAGAACGAATACAAACTGGCTAAGCTACGTGATTATGAGGAAAAGCTAATTGTAACTGCATGGTATAACAAGGTGGGTCAAAAATTCATTTGTTGGTGTATCAGAAAAACATATTTTGCTAAATGTGACAGTTACATTTTATTAATCTAAGAAATCCAGTAAAAGAATTTCTGTGTGCATACTAAATAAGGATGAGCTTTGTGTATGAAAGATGGCAGGGCTTTTTTCTTCCATTTTTGCTATTATTTAAGTTGTTGTTTAACTGTTTTGCAGAGCCTGACTCTGCAGAAGCTGGGTATGGAAGCAAGGCTGGTTGGCAGCAGTGGTGCCTGCAAAGATGGGCCTGGACGCTCCTTCCTGGCTCAGCAACGTCACGTCACCACCACCAGGAGGAATCTCACTGTTAAAGTACCAGGGGCAACATCTGATTAAACCACAAGGACCATGAGGAAAACTTACCTGCTAAAGTGTCCTTAAATGTTTTATAGCTTCCACTTTACTTGAGGAAAGAGGAGGTTAGAACTGGGCAGCTGCAAATTCAACATCAGAACTGTCAAGGAGTGATTCATTTGATCAGTGGTGTGTGTAGAAGGTAGCACGTAGTTTTCCAAGTAGATTTGATAACTGCAGTACCTATTTACAAGCACAACGTAAAAGATTTATATTTGCCTTCAGATTATATTGTAAATATGAAATTTGGCACTATATATTTAAAACTTTATTTAATGGGTTTGGGCTAGAAAGTTGACTTTTATAATGGGAAGATGTTATGCAAAAATTTACTTCAGGAAACTGGCAATATTGGGCATTTTTGCTGGGCTCTTCTAAAAATAGATTTAAAAGATTGGTACCATGTTTTAAAATAATACAGGTTTTTTTAGAATAGAAAGTACAGTTTTAAATGCAAGAAAATGCTTGCATTTATAGAAAAAGAAAATAAAGGTATAGTACCAGTACTGAAGACAGGATTTGTTTCATGAGAAGCAGAATTACTCAGTTTAGTTAAAAAAAAAAAAAAAGGTTAAGTTTGTGCATATACACACTAAAGAAAACCTGTCTTTAAGATGCTGAATTCACTTAAGCCAAAAAAGCTTGTCTTTTCCTGTGTAAGAGAAAAGCTATAATAATAATAATAATTCAGAAGTCTGGGCTGTATTTTAAAGTCTGGCATATTCATATGCTGCATTTATTTGCAGAAGGGGGATTAGTTGAGAAGGAGCCCCATTTATTTCAACCTATTTATACAACCCTGTGCATGGAAATTAATTTTTCCTTTTTTAAATGTAGTTTTCACTTCAGTTATTCTCAACTGACTACTAGGCAGAGAAACGAAAGATGGCTTTAACAGTTGTTGGCAGGGAGAGAAGTGCATAAACTATAATAGTGTGATAGAAGATGAAAAAGGGATTGATATCTGAAATTTGTGTGCAGGAAGTTGCTGTTTTTCACAGAATTTGTCACTTTATTTTCCAAATGTCTTATTTTTGTTTTGAATTGTATTTTTAGAAACCTGTCAATGTCTGTTCTTCTTTGCAGACTGTCTAGAACAAATTGATTATGCCAATAGTTAAATGAAATAAAATTGCAGCAGCCTGTAAAATAAAATGAATACACTTAAACTAAGTATTTTAGGATGGTGTACTGGAGCATCATCTAATACAAAACTCAACCACATTTGTGAATGAAAACACACCTGTCTCACCATCTTTGATTTGAGAGCAGAATTCAGCTTTGCAGAATTTAAGTCTTGAATTATGAAGTTTGGGTAGTCTTTCATTTTACATGCCTCTCACTATGGCTTGTCATTTGATTTCTTCCTTCCCCAACATCTTAAATTCTTTATTGGGCATTGCATGCAATGCCAGGGAAAAGGCAAGTATTAATTTCTAATACTTAGGGTTGCTTCTTAGTTGTGGTGGTTGTTTTACAGTGCTGTACATTTAGGCATTCAACAGATTTCCTCCTTCAAAAAGCACTGTTTAAAAACCAGTCTCATGCTACATATGTTGTGAGAGCAGAGAATGTGCCAGACAAGTGGCTGTTGGAGAGTTTTGTCTGTCTGGTGCTGTTCTTTGGGACTCTATGCTTGGACTACCTCTTGGGTTTTGAGGTCTTTTATTGCTGCAGTGATATTAGTGGAGTTTGTGTTTTTAAGATACAGTTGCTTGTTCACTCTGCTGGTAGTGTGGGAGATGGTGGTGAGCAGTGGAGCAGGAGATTCAGTCTTAGCAAGATGCTTACATTCCTAAAGCCTGGTCTGTGGTGTGGTGTAGTGAAATGTGAAGCTGTCACTGATGGTGTTGAGTGGGTCTCTTAACCCTCGTTCTTTGCAGCATGGAAACTTTCATGGATGTCCCTCAAATACTCATCTAGTTTGTAGGCTTGATGCATTTGTTGTACTTCTCACAGTAGTAGAGCTGTGCCAGTCAGTGTCTGTCAGGTGCTGAATAGTGACAAACTTGGAGCAAATGTCTTTGACTTGCACTTCTCAAAACTGCAGACCCTGGGACCAAAAATAAGCAAGAACCTCCCTTATCATTTAATTGGAAGTTTGTCTTCTAACTAGTGATGGAAGAATTTCAATCCCAAACTACAGGCAGGGATCAGCCTTTTTCAGGGCACACTTGTCCCCATAGTCTCGTTGGGGTTGCCAAAAATTAATCAGGTTTTCAGATATTGAATAAAATGTTGCTTATTTGGGACTTCTCCAAACTGTTAGAAGTTAAGCCTGTGAATATAACTTAAGGGTTTCTTTGGGATTGAGAACCTGTTTAAGAGCAGCTGTTCTACAACTGGTAAAACTTGGGTTATGTCCTATGAATGAGGAACTGATCTTCAGAAATAAATATTGGATTATAAGCCATGGTGGTGTGTTCACTTCAGCTCCTCTGGCTGTGCAGGAAGGACCATTAGATGAGTATAATTTTAATGTTTGCTTCATTCATGTCAAACAAAAAAAGCTACTAATGCCATTGCTGTTTTACAGCCGAGTTGTATCCAACATGTAGCAGCAGAGCTCTGTTAATATGTGTCCTTTTATGCACCACTGCTGAGGCAGGACAAAGAAAGAGGCCGCTGTCTCTGCTGCAGGATGAATTCATACCATCCCATCAGCACAGTTAGGAACACATCCAAATATGAGGTGAAATCACTGAATACTGGTGAAGTTAAACAGGATTACTAGTAATTTAGCCAGTTTCCAGTAAAACGGGTAATACAGATCCAAAGAAACAAAAAATATGTTCTGATTAACATATCATTTCTTAATTATTTTTTATATAAGATTACTATGGAAGAGAAGTTTTATAGCAATAATACAAATTCTGGACTAGTGAGTTCTTTTACTCAAGATGGGTCAGGCAGCAGTTTTGAGAAGATTCTTTTGCAACAACTTTATTATAGTGGATTAAGAAACATTCACTGAAAATAAATTTTCACCTGATTTTTTTGGTTCATTAAAAATATATATATATATATGGGTATTTTATTTTATATGATATACACTTACTTGGAAATAAGTAATATAAGCAATACTGATGTTCTATTTAGGTAGCCATAAATAGATTAGAAATTAGAAAATGAAAACAATTGTTTAAGAGTTGGTAATGTCTAGTACAGTAATTTTCTTACATGTTTCTTTTTTTCCTTCCCCTAATGCTAGACTTAAAGTTTTCGGTGTATCGGTGTCTACATCTTCTGTTTAAAACAAATGTAAACACTGTGTTGCATAGAACTTGAAAATTGCACTAATTTTTAAACTTTTGGTTTTATTTTTTTCTTTGGAAAGAGTTCTTTTATATTCACATAAAGATTTTTAAAATTAATTCTTTGGTGTCTTTATTCCAAGAAATGCATTTAATGGTCCCTAGCTGATGTAAGCATCCATATTTCTGGGCAACATGTGACCTGGATCAGCATGTTGATACACTTATACCATCTAAATGTCATGTGCCGGGATGTGTAACGTGTGTATAATGAGGGTATGGATGTAAAGAGTTGTGCTACCTTTCCCTCCTCTTCTCAGCTCTTTCCTGCTTATGTTTTTGCTCCCACCCAAAGCTGGTTCCCTCTGCTCAGCCTGCAGTCAGTCATCTCAGAGCTGGGCAAGGGACTTCGGGAAGTGAAAAGCCTAAACCCCACTACAGATAAACTGTCAGGTGACTTCAGGAATTGCTTACAGCTACTGAAGGAGGGGAGGGTTATCTGCCTGTTGTCAGCCCCACCTGAGAGGACACAGAACAGGTACCTCTCTAAATCACTGTTTGCTGTTATTTGGAACAGAAAGCTGACTGCCCTCTGCAGCCTGCTTTGCAGGTGATTGATGTGCTGTTAGTCTCACTGTAAGCTTTCTTGTTCCCTGAGCTCCAACCCAGAAGTGATGCTGGGGAAGATCAGGCAGCCTTCAGCCTTGCAGAGGGAAGACCTGAGGGTGAGGACCTGTGATGCCTCAGTGTGGAAGGGCCTTTGCACTGGCAGAAATCCTGGTGAGCATGAGGTGAACAACCACATACAGAAGAACTGTTTTTCCTGCTTTCTGAGACTAGATGTAAAGGCAATTTCAGACATTGAAGAACAAAATGTGCAGGTGTGTGTCTGAGGGAGAAAGGAAGAGAGGAGGCACTCAGCTGTGCAGGAAGCCTGAGCTGAGCTGTGCTCAGCCCTGACCCTGTTTACTTACGCCTTTTCTGGTAACTCCTGAAGAGCCAAGCACTGCAGTGGGAGGTTTGTATGTTTGTGAGAGGGGGGGCCCTGGAGGAGAGATGCAGGAATAAAGCCTGG